AAATATACACATTATTTCTTAGGGGCGGGTTTCACTCTACAGAAAATATATTACTTTATTCTATGCAAGGAATAATTAAATTTTTATGGTTGTCTATTAACTACATCCTGACGGAAAAATCTTTTTATTTATTTATCCCGTTTGATGGAATGTTGATCAGTTTTCTTTTGTTTAAGGTTCCATAAATGATAATGGATATTTAATGATGTAAATACCTAGCTTGATAGCTTGTTTTAAAGGAATTTAAGTAATGTAGTTAGAATATTTGTCTGCTGAAGAAAATGTTCTGAAATACTATTTGTTGAATACTGATCTGAGTCAGACCTGTTTATAAAGATCTGAAATTAAACCATCAGAAGAAATTAAGAAAAGATATTTCAGTCTAATCTTAGTTTTGGGTCATGCTGCATAAATGAAGGAAATGACTGTGAAATGTAACTATAATCCTTACTTCTTTTTTAGATTACTGCAAAATCAACCAACCAGCAGCCACAGCAACAACAACAACAACAACAAGAGGTTTGTAAAATGATCTCTGTTTTATTCCAACCACACTACAGAAAAACAAAGATACAGTCTGATTCTGCAATTCAATTCACACAGTTTGAACCTAGTAATAAACAGTTCAGAGTAATAATCAAATGAGACTTTGAAAATCAAACTGATTTTTTATCACTAAATATTGGATTTAGTCTGTTTTTTATAGTTTTAAGATTTTCTATTCTTTTAAAATGAACTGAATAGATTTAGTTCAAAATATTTGTTTGTTCAATGATTTCACTTTACTCAATGTTTCTTTGTTTAAATAAGAATTTATTGATGAGAACATATATAGATTTATCAACCAAATAATCAATAGCTGGAGCCATAGAAGGGATATACTGAGTGGGTCTCCTCCAGGGTTTTGAATTCTGAACAACAAACCATATTTATAGCCATGCAGTGTCCATATTACTGTAGGATTTTTTTTTACAACAAAAGGCATTCTAACTATTTGAAAGAAAGCTTTATTGTCTTTCTAGTGTATTTCACTTGTTAATTTTTTTTTAAAACAACTCAGCTCTTGCAATGATACTAACAAATTTTAATCTTTGTAATCCATCCATCCATCCATCCATCCATCCATCCATCCATCCATCCATCCATCCATCCATCCATCCATCCATCCATCCATCCATCCATCCATCCATCCATCCATCCACCCATCCATCCATCCATCCATCCATCCAAGGCCTCACTGGCCTTTAGAACATGGATTTGTTATATCAAAATATATAATTTCTGAGCACTATTTTGTGTAAATCACACCAACATATTTTAAAGTTATTGCTCATGCAAAGTCTAACACTGAGTTTCTTTAACTCTTCCAGGTTCGACAACCACATGAGAAACAGGTATACAGTTTAAAAACCACACTTAATTTGATGATGTTTCCATAGTCTATTGGTTTCAATGACAATTCAAGTACTTGAAATGATGCTCCTGGACTTTCTGTCTCAGTCTGCAGTTTCTCTTCCCTACAACGGTTTGACCTTGTAACCCCAGTCTTAGACTGTTTTTCTCAGTTACACTTCTTTATCGATACAATTGTGGCAACCACCTGGGGAGCTGAAGCTGTTACCACTACTGCTGATAGGGAATATTAACTTTAACACCTTTGTTTCTTTTCTTTTTTTTTTTTTATAAAAATATAAAAAAAAAATTAAATAAATAAATACATAATAAAAAAATAAGAAAAAAAATACAAATTAAAAAACACCCTGTTTTTTTCAGCTAAACCATCATGCCTCAACAACTGTGGACACTACTTTGGAAGTTGTTCCTGTGATCGCTCCTGCCAACTCTATGGAAAGTGCTGCGATGACTTCTACTGTGAGTCCAAATTTAGCATCAACTGGTTTTGCAACCATAACTATGAATGTTTTGTTTGCAGTGGTTTTCACTGTAAAATAAAAAAAACACTTAATATTCTGATTTTTGCAGCTCACTGTGTATGGTCCACTGATGTCCCCACTACAGGTAAAAGATTTTCTGAAATGTATTGATTTTCTAGTGATGTTTTTAACAATAATTGAGGAACAAGTGTGTTTGAACACACATAAAGTGAAGTTTAGCTAATTATATAAATGGGTGAAAGGTGAACTTTTTTGGAAATGTCACCATTTTGCAGGTTTACAAAATGTTGGTTTCATTGTTTCTGTTTTTATTAGTAACCTGTGGCGGGTACCTCAGTGACAGCAGAGGCACTTTTCAAAGCCCCAACTAACCAGATAATTATCCAAATAACGTCAACTGTACATGGTACATTAGACCTAGTTATCAGTCAATTCGTTTGGAGTTCTATGATGTAAGGTAAGCAAATGCTCTTACCATGTAAAGTGTATCTTCTTTTTTTATTTCCTTTCATTCTAATTGGTTATAATGCTTGTTTTGTTTCAGCACTGAATGTGGTTATGATACGGTTGATGTCTATGATGGCAACAATACCAACACTGAGAGGGTGTTGCAACTCTGCAGCAATGATCATTATGTCTACCACTCTACTGGCCCATATATAATTGTACACTTCCACAGTGACCATATGGTGAGAAAAAAAGGATTTCTTGCTCGCTACAGTCAAGGTAAGATAAAGTGGTCACATAGTATAAAACATTATGACAGATGTTGCAAATTTAACAATTTTTTTGTCCTTTCGCTTGAAGATGAAAACTCCTGCCAGTACAACTGTGGTCAGCTGGCTGGAAACTGCTCCTGCCACTCAGGATGTGAATACAGTGGGAACTGCTGTGACGATTACACAGGTAAGCAGTGATGCTTTGTCGGATTATAAAAGCCTTATTTTATTCAGCATGTCATGTCTCGCACTGTGATTGGAATTGTCTTAAGAACAAGCTCAAAGTTCAGTTCACAAACGTATAAATGAACTATTTCAAGTTAATTTGGTAAATTAAGCCACAATCCTACACAATAGAAACTCATATTTCACCCTTCAAATGTGTGATCTCAATGTACAGTATACAAAGAAATAGAAAATACTCTATGCAGTCAAGGTATACTGTATGTGCAGTGAAGACTTTATTTAGCCAAATTAACGCAGAACTTTAAAAACATGCAGGTACATTCAGGTTCTCCTGAAGAGATCTGTATCAAAAATTATTTTTTACATTCTTCATTCAGTGGCAGATATTTCCCAAGATAGGTTGGATGCTTTAACTCGATGTGTCACTTTAAATTTGAAGTGGATGTGGTAGATGTACGGACTTGTTTGTTAAGACCCAGTGGGCAGTGTATGCACAAAAGTGTGTTTTTTTCCTTCCTTTGGTAGTTCATAAAACTCTGCAAAGTTCTTGGCAGAACTTGGATCAGAATTACCAATAGATGGGTCTGAATGGCGCAGATTAGTACTAGCAGTGGACATGCTGGTCTGTCTTCTTCTACTTCTTTTGTGAAGTTCAATGGGGTTGGCAGACCATTTGAAAATGTAATACCACCACTTACCAGTATGGATTGTGGAACAAAATGACAATATACCAACCGATAGATGTATCTACTTTAGTTTTATATCAATAATATAATAAACCAATATCCTCTATCGATCCAGATTCTCTTTAATTGTACTGTTATCTCTCCTTTCCCTGTTTTATTCTCTCCTATGACTTTTATCTCTATGAACTCTCTTTTCCCTAAGAGTTCAACACATCAATTCGACTTCCATAAAAGTCTTATTTATTTCTCTGGAAAACAAAACTGGGCTAAAATGACTGTTTATCTTCAGCACTGAATCTAAATATAATTTTTATTTCTTCTTTGCTAACCGTCCTTCGTACAATGCTTTCTTCATCTGAAGTGCTTTCTTTTAATTCACGATTATTTCCTTGATTCTCAAGCCACCTTTCTCCCCTTTTACATCCTCTATCTCTCTCTGTTGTCCATCATTCCTCATCATTGTCTACCTGACTTGTTCCATCACTTAACCCATCAGGCAAAAAATGGTTTTCGTAAACGACTGCCAGTCCAAATGCCTCTCCCAGCGTGTAGAACCAACCTGATGTAATCCAATGAAAAGTATTATCAATTGAATACCAATGTGAGCTGGGTGTGTGGGTCGCTCAACCCTCTCAGTATGAACATCACTCTAATTCATGTTCATTACTTCAAAAATGAACCCCTCAGTTCACTGTTCACTAACAATATGAACGCATTCAGGGAATGCCATTCACTGAAGGTGTTCATGCATAACACTGACTTTAACCTTAATGTTCTACTTGTCTGTTTGCAACAAACTTATTAAACATTATTTTGATATTATTCAAAATGCAATAGAAAAAGAAACTTAAATAAAAGGAATTAAACAAACGTGGTTAGAGAACTGAGGCAAAAAGTGAAAAGAGATAACAATAGAGAAGAGATGAAAAAAAGAAAAAATATCTTTCATGTCTTTTTCTACACCTAAGAGAGAAAGAGAGAGGAAGAAAATGTTCTTTAAAACTAATTATTAACAACTCATGTGAATTAGACCAAGTCATAGAAATTTTAAATGTAAATTCGAAAACATTAGAAACACAAGATTCTCCCTTTTTAGTACAATCTTAAACTTGGATCTCCTCTTAGTGAGGCTACATGTCATAGAATGCAACAGTGCATGTATCTCCCTGGTATTACAGCTTGGTGTTTAAAACTGTAAACAGAGATGCTGCATACGTAACTGGAGTAAATGGTTGTAAAATGTAACTCTGTCATCCCTACTTGTTTTTCAGCTTACTGTAAAATCACGACTGAAAAACCAGGAACAACAATTTATCCAGAAATTACCTCAACAGCAGGTTTGACCACTAATCTGTTTTAATCCTGAAAAACCACAGAAGAACACAGACAGAGTCTGATTCTGCAATTGAATTTGATTGTAGTAATGAAACTGTTCAGTCAAGTTCAGTTTAATAGTTGATCCATCCAGTGATAGAGTCTGAAATGTAACTCTGTCATCCCTAATTGTGTTTTAGCTTATCCTGATAACACCAGTGAAGAACCAGAAACCAGCCATTATCCAGAAATGACAACAACATCAGGTTTGTTGAATTATCTGTTTTATTCCCGCCTACCACAGAAGAACACAGATACATTCTGATTCTGTAATTAAATTCCTACAGTTTGATTCTAGCAATGAAACACTTCAGTCAAGTTCAATTTAATAATGAAATTAATTTAAAAAAATGTCTTAGAAAATTTTCATTAAGGAGAATCACAACACTTTCTAGGACCAAAAGGGATTAGGACTGTAATAACCAATGTGATTAGCCATAACTATAGAAATTATCATCAGCCAATGTGGTGGAGCTCCACAGGAGTGAGGTGGAGCGGCTGTTGGTGTGGTGCAAGGAGAACAATCTGCTCCTTAACAACTCAAAGACAAAAGAACTTATAATAGATTACAGGAGGAAAAAAACGGACATCACACCACTAACCATTGGGGGGAAATGTGTGGAGAGGGTAGCTGACTTCCGTTTCCTGGGGGTCCACATTGAACAGGGCTTCACATGGAACATCAACACCTTGGAGCTGACAAAAAAGGTCCAGCAAAGACTACTTCCTGAGGGTTCTCGGGAAGAACAACATCAAGGAGAAACTGCTGGTGTCCTTCTACAAGTGCTTCATAGAGAGCATACTGACTTACTGCATCTGTGTATGGTATAACAGCAGCACTGCAGCTCAACGGAAAGCTCTCCAAAGGGTTGTGAAGACAGCCCAAAAAATCATTGGCTGCCCTCTCCCCTCACTGGAGGACTTGCACAGCGACCGCTGTCTAAAAAAGGCACAACACATCACAAAGGACACTTCTGATCCCGGACATTCTCTGTTCACACTGTTGCCTTCAGGCAGATGATACAGAGCAATCAAACCAAGAACCAACCGCCTTAGAGACAGTTTTTACCCGACAGCAATAACAAAACTAAATGCAACCAAAAATAACCATTAATCATCATGGATGATGTGTGTGAGATTGTACTATTCTTATTAGTGTTTTTATCAGCTATTGTTATTTATTTCTTATATTATGTGTAAATGGTGGTGACAGTGATTTCTGTTTTTGTTTTTGAGCATATGCACTGATCGATCGATGGCACTTTTTTTTTTTTCGTTGTTCTTTGTGACAATGACAACAATAAAAATTTGATTTGATTTAAAGTAAATAATTAACTAGATTATTTCTAAACATGACGTCTGCTGAGAGAGCATCGCATTCTAACTGTATTTTAGTATCTATACATACCTGTATAAATGGGACCAAAATGGAACTGCAATAATTAAGCATTGGATTCAGTTTTTTTATTGGTTTTATTATTTACCATCCATCCATCCATCCATCCATCCATCCATCCATCCATCCATCCATCCATCCATCCATCCATCCATCCATCCATCCATCCATCCATCCATCCATCCATCCATCCATCCATCCATCCATCCATCTCAGGCTTCACTGGAGGGATGAAGTCATACCTCACTCATCTGAGGTTAGAATGAATGATCCACCAATAAGGGCCAAAACAAACAAAGGGCCTTATAATTTTTGCTTTAAACTGTTTTGGGCGAATATCTAGCTTCAGCGATTTGAAAAGGAATCAAAGTTTTGTAGTTATAATATTTGTCTGTTGAAGAAATCTATGTAAAATGAAAACTATTTGTTCAGAACTAATATGTTGAGTTAGGCCAATTTATAAAATTATAAATTTAAATTCAACGGCATTAGGAAAGTAGTGGTTGATTTTTTTTTTCAGTCAGTGAAGACATGAACTGTGATCCTGCTGTTAGTGAGGCTACAGGTCAAAGCGTGAATCAGCGCCTCTATCTCCCTGTTATTACAGCTTGGTGGTTACAGCTCAACAAGAGATTCTGCATAACTGGAGTAAATGTCTGTGAAATGTAACTCTGTCATCCCTACTTGTGTTTCAGCTTATTCTGATTTCACCAATGAACAAACAGAAACCATCCAAACCTGGAGCCAAACCTATCCAGAAATGACAACAACAGCAGGTTTGAAAAATAATCTTTCTTATTCTCACCACATCACAGAAGAACACAGATCCATCCATCCATCCATCCATCCATCCATCCATCCATCCATCCATCCATCCATCCATCCATCCATCCATCCATCCATCCATCCATCCATCCATCCATCCATCCATCCATCCATCCATCCATCCATCCATACCTCACTCATCTGAGGTTAGACTGAATGATCTTACAGTGAGATTAGCCGGGACAAAGGGCCTTCTCATATTTGCTTCAAAGTTTCTGGGGCAAATATTAAGCTTGAGCAATTTCAAAAGGAATCTAAGTTTTATAATTATAATATTTGTCTGTTGAATAAAAGTATGAAAAAGGAAAAGTTCAATACTAATGTGATGAGTAAAGCCCATTTATAAAATTCTAATTTTAAATTCAACACCATTATAAAAGTAGCAGTTCATTTTTTTCCAATCATGAAAACTGGAACTCTGATCCTGCTGTTAGTGAGGCTACATGTCAGAGTGTGAATCAGTGCCTGTATCTCCCAGCTTGGTGGTTACAGCTCAAAAAGAGATTCTGCATAACTGGAGTAAAAGTCTGTAAAATGTAAATCTGTGATCCCTACTTGTGTTTCAGCTTATTCTGATTTCACCAGTGAACAACCAGAAACCAGCCATTATCCAGAAATGACAACAACAGCAGGTTTGAAAAATTATCTTTCTTATTCTCATCACACCACAGAAGAACACAGATACGTCTGATTCTGCAATTAAAATCAAATAGGCTGATCCTAGCAATGAAAGAGATCAGTCAAGTTCAATCCAAAAACCAAAAAAAAAGTTGTCTTGAAAATATTCATTTTTGAGAATCACAACACATTCTAGGGCCAGAAGTGATTAGGACTTTAATAAATAATGGGATTAACGATAACTATTGAAAAAATAATTAGCTAAGTTGTAATTAAATGAAATAATTAACTGGCTTATTTCAAAACCTGACATCTGCTAAAAGAGTATCCCATTCTGAAGGGCAAATAAGCCAAAATTGTACAAATAATATAAACATTTTTAATCTAGAATCTTAAATCTTGTCTAAAAATTGTCAGTCCAAGAATCTTCAAGTGGCATGGTTAACCTAAAAAAAACCCCAGCAACCTCCTATTTAATATGGACTTTATTAATGAAACTGCAATAATGTAAGCATTGGATTTAGTTTTTTTTCCATCATTCTGTTTTTTAATATCCATCCATCCATCCATCCATCCATCCATCCATCCATCCATCCATCCATCCATCCATCCATCCATCCATCCATCCATCCATCCATCCATCCATCCATCCATCCATCCATCCATCCATCCATCCATCCATCCATCCATCCATCCATCCATCCATCCATCCATCCATCCATCCAAGGATGGATCAACTCTAACCTCACCTGAGCTTAGAGATCATGTTCCAACAATATGGAAGAGTCTGGGCTTTCTTATATTTACTTAAAACATTTTTGGGAAAATATTTAGCTTCAGCAATTTGAAAAGGAATCAAAGTTTTGTAGTTATAATATTTGTCTGTTGAAGAAAATTATGTAAAAGAAAAACTATTTCTTTTGAACTAATATGTTGAGTTAAACCCATATATAAAATTCTCATTTTAAATTCAACGCCATTAGAAAAGTAGCTGTTCATTTTTTTCCAATCATGAAAACTGGAACTCTGATCCTGCTGTTAGTGAGGCTACATGTCAGAGTGTGAATCAGTGCCTGTATCTCCCTGTTATTACAGCTTAAAGCTTGGTGGTTACAACTGAAAAAGAGATTCTGCATAACTGGAGTAAATGTCTATGAAATGTAACTCTGTCATCCCTACTTGTGTTTCAGCTTATTCTGATTTCACCAGTGAACAACCAGAAACCTTCCAAACCTGGAGCCAAACCTATCCAGAAATGACAACAACAGCAGGTTTGAAGAATTATCTCTGTTTTATTCCCGCCCTAACCACAGAAGAGCACAGATACTGTACATTCTGATTCTGCAAATAAATTCTAAGAACTTGATCCTTGCAGATCAGTCAAGTTAAGTTTAATAATCAAATGAATAAAAAGTTGTCGTTAACTACTTCATTTTGGAAAATCACAACACATTCTAAGGTCAGGAGGGATTAAGGCTGTAAAAACTAGTGGGATTAACCATAACCATTGAAATAATGATCAGCTAATGTCATCATTAAATTAAATTATTAACTAGATTATTTCAAAACATGACACTTGCTCAAAGAGCATCCCATTCTGAGTGATAAATAAGCCAAAATGGTACAAAGAATAGAAAATTTTATTCCAGGATCTAAAATCTTGTCTAAAAATTGTCTGTTCAAGAATATTCAAGTGGCATAGTTTTAGCTTCACCTGGTTAACAAAAAAATAAATTCTTTTCTTAACCTTTTGCTATCTAATTGTTTGTCATTAATAGTAGTCAACAAAGCAAAATAATTGTTATATCTACACATACCTGTATAAATGGAACTTTATTAATGAAACTGCAATAATTTAAGCATTGGATTTTTTTTTTTTTTATAGATTGTTTTCTTGTTTACTATTCTTCCATCCATCCATCCATCCATCCATCCATCCATCCATCCATCCATCCATCCATCCATCCATCCATCAATCCATCCATCCATCCATCCATCCCTCCATCCATCCATCCATCCATCCATCCATCCATCCATCCATCCATCCATCCATCCATCAATCCATCCATCCATCCATCCATCCTTCCATCCATCCATCCATCCATCCATCCATCCATCCATTCAAAATTATAAACATTTTCAACATTTAAAAATAAATAAATAAATAAAAAAATAACAAACATTTTCATCTAGGCTTAAAAAACTTCTGTAAATATGGTCTATCCAAGAATCTTCAAGTGGTAAAGACCTACAGTATTAAATACCATTTGCTCTCTGATTGTTAAGCCATTAAAAGCAGTTCAAATCAATTCAATTCATTTTATTTATATAGCGCCAATTCACAACACAAGTCATCTCATAGCACTTTACAGTTCAACCAGATCATACAGTCAAATTGATTCAGTTTTAGATCTAAGGAACACCAGTTGATTGCATTTACTCATTGACTCAAATGCAATCTGTCACACTTAAAGCAGTCAACAAAGAAATATATGTACGGTAAGTGTAAGTATCTTTATGTTACTATTTTGTTATTTACCATCCATCCATCCATCCATCCATCCATCCATCCATCCATCCATCCATCCATCCATCCATCCATCCATCCATCCATCCATCCATCCATCCATCCATCCATCCATCCATCCATCCATCCATCCATCCATCCATCCATCCATCCATCAAAGGTCTTACTTGTCCTATCTGAGGTTAAACTAAATCATCCAACAACAAGAAATAGCCTGGACAAAGGGCCTTCTCATATTGCTTGAAGCATTCTGGGATAAATATCTAGCTTGAGCAATTTCAAAAGGAATTAAAGTTATGTAGTGATAATAATTGTCTCTTGAAGGACTGAAAAACTTTTTAATTCTAATGTGTTTGGTTAAGCCCATTTATAAAAATTCTCAATTTTAAATTAACGCCTTTAGGAAGAAGCACATTCAGTTTGTTTAAGTCAGTGAAGACATGAACTATGATCCTGCTGTTAGTGAGGTTAGAGGTCAAAGTGTGAATCAGTGCCTGTATCTCCCTGTTATTACAGCTTGGTGGATACAGCTCAAAAAGAGATGTTGCATAACTGGAGTAAATGACTGTGAAATGTAACTCTGTGATCCCTACTTGTGTTTCAGCTTATCCTGTCAGTATCAATCAGTTTGATCCTAATAGTGAAGCACTTCAGTCAAGTTCAGTTTAACAATCAAATGAATAAAAAGTTGTCTATCAAAACATTAATTGTGGAGAATCACAACACATTCTAGGAGCAGAATGGATTGGGGCTGTAATAACTAATGGGATTAACCATAACTATTGAAATTATCATCAGCTAATGTGGTGATTAAATTAAATCATTAACTGCATTATTTCAAAACATGACACTTCCTGAAAGAACATCCATTTTGGAGTGGTAAATAACTTAAACTTTACCAAAAATGTAAGCATTTTATTCTATCTGGGATTAAAAATGTTTTGCATATATCGTGTATTCATTAATCTTCATGCGTCATATGCTTATCTTTCATTTAAAAAAACGCTCCTATTAAACACCATTTGCTATCTGATTGTTAAGCCGTTAATAGTTGTCGAAAAAAAGCAACATAATTGTGTGTATCTATACATACCTGTATAGATGGGACTATATTAATGAATCTGCAATAATATTAGCATTGAAACCATCCATCCATCCATCCATCCATCCATCCATCCATCCATCCATCCATCCATCCATCCATCCATCCATCCATCCATCCATCCATCCATCCATCCATCCAAGGATGGATCAACTCTAACCTCAGCCATCTGAGCTTAGAGATCATGTTCCAACAATATGGAAGAGTCTGGGCATAGGGCTTTCTTATATTTACTTAAATCCATCAAAGGTCTTACTTGTCCCATCTCAGGTTACACTAAATCATCCAACAATAAGAAATAGCCTGGACAAAGGGTCTTTTGATATTTGCTTGAAACATTCTGGGGCAAATATCTAGCTTGAGCTATTTGAAAAGGAATCTAAATTTTGTAGTTGTAATATTTGTCTTTTAAAGAAAGAAATATAAAAGGCTAACTATTTTTTCTAGAACTAATGTGTTGAGTTAAGCCAATTTATTCAATTCTACATTTAAAATCAACACCATTAGGAAAGTTGCAGTTAATTTTATGCAGTCAGTGAAGACATGAACTATGATCCTGCTGTTAGTGAGGCTACAGGTCAAAATGTGAATCAGTGCCTGTATCTCCCTGTTATTACAGCTTGGTGGTTACAACTCAAAAAGAGATGCTGCATAACTGGAGTAAATGACTGTGAAATGTAACTCTGTGATCCCTACTTGTGTTTCAGCTTATCCTGATAACACCAGTGAACAACCAGGAACCAGCCATTATCCAGAAATAACAACAACAGGTTTGACAATTATCTCTGTTTTATTCGCACCACACCAGAGAAGAACTGATACAGTCTGTTTCTACAATTAAATTCAAACCTTTTGATTCTAGTAATGAAACAGTTCCGTTAAATTCAGTTTAATAATCAAATAAATACAAAGTTGTCTTTGAAATATTCATTATGAAGAATAACAACACATTCTAGGCCCATAAGTGCTTAGGGCTGAAATAACTAATGGAATTAACCATAAATATTGAAATTGTCATCAGCTAAAGCGGTAACTAAATTAAATCATGAACCAGATTATTTCAAAACATGACACTTCCTGAAATAAAATCCCATACTAAGTGGTAAATAAGACAAGACTGTACTAAAAACTTTCATTTAGGCTTAAAAAACATCTGTAAATATTGTCTTTCCCAGAATCTTCAAGTGGCATAGTTTTACCTTCACCTGGTTAACTTTTGTAGAAAAAAAAATAAAAACTCCTACTAAACACTATTTGCTATTTGATAATTAAGCCATTAATAGTAGTCAACAAAGTAAACTAATTGTAAGTATATATAGATACCGGTCTACATTGGACCAAATAATGGAACTGCAATAATTAAGCATTGGATTTAGTCTTTTTAATTGTTTTATTATGTACCATCCATCCATTTATCCATCCATCCATGAACTCACTGGATAACATAAAAGCCAAACACAACCCGACATTGTTTATATATTTTATTTTTGGATTTGTTTAAATCTTATTTAAGGCTGCTCAGCAAGAAGGTCCCAGGTTCGATTCTCGTGATGATCTTTCATCATGGAGTTTGCATTTTCTCCCTGAGATGCATAGGCTCTCTCAGGGTATTCCGGCTTCCTCCAACAGTCCAAAAACATGACTGGTCGGTTGATTGGCTTCTGTAAATTCTCTTGCCCATAGACCGCTGGAGGTAGGCACCAGCCCCCTTCGCTACCCCACTTGGGATCAGCGTGACAGAAAATGAATGAATGGAAGAAATTTATTTGACATCCATTAATCACATTAAATAGTTTCCATCTGAAAAGGCTTTTATGCTTATTATAAACAAATACTTGGAAAAATAATGCTACAGATGTATTGCTTAATTAATTGTTAAAAATATAAAGATGATCTGAAAGGGTCAGGAGGGCATATAGCAACAGTTTTATTCACAAAACTTAGGTTCAATCATTTGTCTGTTCATTGGTGACGGAAAGGTATTTCCCCATGATCCACCATCGCTGGTACTGTTCTTAAGGTTTAAGTTACACTCGTGCCCCAAACATCAAACCTAGACAGGGGCAAGTCGGACAGAAATCTAACCGGCGTGCACCCCCCAAAGACCAATCACCGATCGGATTTGTGCAGGTCTAGCTCATCTTGAATGCACCTAATGTCCCAATAAGAATAAGTAAAATTAGGTACAATGAAGGGATTAAAACTGTATTTGTTGGTCATATCATCTGGTTATAATATTATGACCTTGTATATTTATGAACAAACAACAGAGTGGGAAAAGAATTATTGATTTAGATCTCTTGTCTTTTTTTACTACACCAAAACACTACCAAAGAACATTGTTCTTTGTAGTGGTAACCTGATAAAACCAAATAAAAAAATACCTAAAACATAAACATTTAATACATTTAATTCTATATGAAACGTTCAAAAACACAGCCAAGTTAGCCGTATATCACACTAGATGTGTACATATTTGGAGCAGAAATTAATGATTAAATGATCAATTTCTCCTTTTCTTAAACCCTTTCATTGGTCACAGCTCAACAATCATGCCGATATAACTGTGGTAATCACATGGGAAGCTGCTCCTGCCAAAGCTCCTGCCAGTACAATGGGAACTGCTGTCATGACTACAATTGTGAGCATCACATCTTGATCTAGCTTAAGACATCCCCGTTGTTTTGACCAAGTAACTCTGAAAACGTATTTGTTTTTCAACAGCCTACTGTTCAGTTGAAACCACAACCTCAGGTAGGTTTTTTATTTTTCCAGTGGATGTAAAATAAAGAAACATGATATGATCAATTTATCCACCACTAAAATATTGACCTCTTTCATCAGGGTCATGTGGAGGCTCCCTGTCTGGCTCTGGCACTTTTACAAGCCCCAAGCATCCCGGCCACTATAGCGACAACTCCTACTGTGTGTGGCAGATCAGAGCTGCATACAACCAAAGGGTCTTCCTGGAATTTTCTTACCTGGAGTAAGCAAAAACTGCCACATCAACATAAAAGCTATACAAAATATTCACATTTATTTGATGTTTTTGTTTTCCCCTCAGAGTATTTTAACATTACTATTTTGCCAAACAGGTTGGAGAACTGTTGCAGCTGTGACTATATTGCACTCTATGACGGGCCGACTGTTTATTCACCATACTTGGGGAGAGTGTGCAACAACAGTGTGAGCCCTTTCTAGTCCACCTCCAACTACATGACTGTGCTCTTCCGGACAGACAGCTCTATGGTCGGCCGAGGATTCAGGGCTGAGTTTATAAGCTCTCTGAAACCCGGCTCAGGTACAGTTGGGATTTAGTGCCCATTCACCCTTGAATTTTAAATTTTATTCTAGGCAAATGTGGCTAGTGTGGATTTACATATTATTTTCTTATAAACATAAACCACACCAAATAATTCTTGCTCACAAGGGGTGAGGGGATTGTATCCAACCAATCAGATCAAATGGAGAATATCTACACAGATCAGTAGTTTCTACAATTCTCAGTTTAACTTCAACTGGGCCATTCTAACACATGTAAAAGCATTTATCTAAACCAGTGGTTTTAAATGCTTGTCCTTGAGAATCTGTTTCTGTAACCTTTGATGAATCCCTGCTTCAACCCACCTGACTCAAACATTAGAATACAAGCAGAGCTCTGTAAAGCTTGATTGAATATTAGTGAAGCTTGCAAAACATCCAAAAGGTCTAGGAAACCATGGGATCTGAGTTTGAGACCACTTGCACTCATTTAAACCTTTCCATTGTAGCTATGGTGGTTTTAGATTCATTCTGCAACAGATTTTCTTCAAGGATTAAGAAGGACCCTCAGTCTCCCTTTCAGTCTCATTTGATTAGAACACCTTTCACATATTTACTGTATGTTATATTCAATGTCACCATAGGAACACCATAATATGTTATGCAATAACTTTATTTATATTATTTAGTCTACTATGAACACACACCCAGCTGGCTATGTGTTAGGACAACAAATTAAAGGGTGTATCGAGCTCAAATCATGGTCAAACAGAGGACTCTATTTGTGTTTATACCCTTAGTTAAGTAAAATTTGTTTTGAAATCATTCAAAACTTTGTTTTGGAATTTGAACAGACAAACACATTCAGAAACATGGCCAAACAGGGCCCTGTACTTGGACAGACAGATATTCAAATTATTCAAAATCACCCAGGAGTACTTTTCCACACTGTAGTGAATCAGTAAACAGAGGAACAAGTCCTCCCCTTTTTCCAAACAGTCTGTTTTGATGGATAAAATTGTAACTTGGAGGTGCAGTCTCCAAAAAAAACGGCATCTCATCATTCTTGTCTAGCCATGTCTCTGTTAGAAACAACAATCAAGGTTTTACTGGTTATTAAATTGATCAAAAATAATTTTCCTGACATAGATCTTATTCTTATTAAAGCCAGTTTGAGAAATTAGACTTCGGCTACTGGTGCATCCATCCTTTTAGCCTACTGTCACGATTGGTTGTGGTTTGTTGACCCAAAAGCAAAGGCAGGGAGGTAGAGGTGAATTTCTAGTGGATTTAATGAGTTAACTGAATGCAGAAGCAGGTTATCCGAAATCCAAATATGAAAAACAAAGTCCAAACAAACAGGAAACCAGGAATTAAAAAATCCAAAAAAGTAGTGATGTTATGAGATGAGCCGAGGCTTCGAGGCATGTGTCGAGTAATGGAGGGGACGTTTCCTCGAAGCGCGTGTCGAGGCGTGATTCATTTAGAGGAGGGGCCAAAATTGATGACGTCCGAGGCCTCACTACCGTGATACCACGTGACCGCTTCGGTAAGTGGTTCGGGAAGCACAAGAATTTTGACAGGCATCTAAACAGCCATAGTGTTCAGTGAAGGTGTGGGAGTTTGGAGGAGAGATGCTCTCAGCTGGATAAAGTTTGGATAGATTCTAAGAATCTACCAATCTAGTTGCTTAAAGCTAATTTGGTTAGAATAAACAATGTAATGATCAAAATTTGAGCAAACCACCGAACAAAGCCAGTGTTAACACGTCAGTGTTAAGAAGTATTTTGTCCCATTTCATACTATCTACATGAGTGGCGTCGACTGTAAGGGACAGGTTCTCACTCTAGAGGTTGATGGTTCAAGATCTGTCTTTGACTTTTGAAAGTTGTGATTAAACTTAATTATTTTGGCTAATGAGACTAATATGCATTGTTTTGCCCGAGTAAAAATATAGAGTGGGAAAATTAGGTCGGTTTAGTCAAAAGATTGGCTGAACACAACTTCCAACCTGATTAAAACCAAAAAACGTGAAAAATCTATCATGTTTGAATAAAAATGACTAACACCTTTCATTTTGTTCATCATTGCCCAATTTGCACAAACACTTTCTCTGTCTGCTTGAGTTTATTTCACTAAAATGGCAGAAAAACTGTGCACCTTAAATGATTGTTCTAAGAAATTTTACACTTAAAAAAAACTTACAAAAGATTTTATTATACACACCAACCATTAACAATTTCAAGGGAACTTAAAGGGGGGAAAAAAGAAAAACAACTGCAAAAAAAATCACAGATTTTATTACGAACTGTGGTTCTGCCCTTCACCAGTAGGTGGTGACATGTTCACATGAAGCCTCATGAACTGTGGGGATCGTTAAAGCAATTTGGCAGAACGGTTCAATGCCTCATGAGGCTTCATCTCACCATCCCTACAAAAAAGAAAACAAATTCCAGACTAACAGGAAACAAGGAGTCCAAAAATCAAAACAAGAAAACAAGTCAAAACAAACCAGAAACCATGGAGACATCAGGAGGATAACAATCACAAGGAGGAATGCTCAGAGACGGAGATGGAGGTAGTATGATGAGGAACCAGCTATGAAGAACTGCACACAGAGAGTATTTATGGGAGACTGAAACAAAGGGAGAGCTAACGAGCAGATTGGGAGCAGGTGTGAGCAGAGCAGAAACAAGAAAGGAGCAAGGGAAAAAAAGGAGAACTAAAGAGGGCAGCAGAGGGCAACAAATAAAAACCTGAGAACTGAAAATAACCAGAAAACAAAACAAAATAAGAATTAAACCACAAAACTAGAAAACATGGAACAAGGTAAAACAGAATACACAAAAGAAAACATAACAGAAACAAGACTATAACACCTACATAAAGAAACGTTTTTTAAGAAGGTGACACGTATCGTGTTTATGTTATGTTACTGGCACATCAAGGCTCATTTTTTATTTTCCAAACTGCAGTGATTCAAAGATTTTTGCAGAAAGATTTCTTTTGATAAAATATTGTTATTTTATTCTAATTAGAGCAGTTTGAATTAGAAACTTACACAAAAATACTTTCAAATAATGTAAATGGATATTTTTTGGCCTATGACTTTATTAGACTTGAAAGTTTTGGCCTATACAGGAAAAGGTTTGGACACCTTTGATCTATCACAACTAATCTCAGCACATAGAATTTGTGAGTGTAACGATGCACAACTATTAAAAGAAAAACTATAAGGAAGGGATACTCTTTAAAGCACTTTAGACTCCAATATTTCAGGGGTTTAATAAATAAACTATTAATCTATTAATCCATTGTTTATGGAATGACCCCCCATTATAATTTTTGGAAAATGTCGTATCTGCTAGGACCTGTGCTACAGCACATGTAAAAGTAGTAGTCAGTGTACTTAATATGAAATCGGACTAAATATTGAACCTAATCCTCTTTCAGGTAGTGTTGACTGCTCCTCAGACAACATGAGCATTGTCATCAATAGAGCTTACCTGAACTCTCTGGGATATGACGGCCACAATGATCCGTACTGCAGGCCACAGATTTCCAGTGACAACGTGGTTTTTAATTTTCCCCTCAATACTTGTGGAAACATTAAACAGGTAAACTCAGATTAATAACAGCATAAATAATATCTGGACATTTCTGACTGTTAGACTTTGAAATTGTGTAACTTTCAAGATCTGAATTATTGATTCCTAAATTCCTTCCTTATCAACAGTTTGTCAATGGCCGAATTATGTACTCCAACTTCCTCCGTGCATGGCCCTCCACCCATGGAGAGATCACACGTCAGTCTTACCTTAAGATGAATGTCTCCTGTCTGATGGAGTCAGATTCTGTGTCCCAGATTTATTTTGTTGTGGAACATGGGGGGAACAGCAGCATCATTGGTTCAGGTCGATTCAATACAACAATGGCTTTCTACACATCCAGCAGCTTCTATTATCAGGTATGTTTGGGTGGTGCAGAAATGCATGAGAAACATTTCTGTTGGAAATGCTACGTTAATATTTTACATTTTTCTTACATTCAGGTGACTCACTTCCCATATCTAGTAGATCTCAACCAGGACTTGTATGTTCAAGTGAACTTGAGAAGGCCTGACAGTAGCCTTGTTCTCTTCCTGGACACCTGTGTGGCCTCCCCATCACCTTTCGACTTTGAGAGTAGACCATATTATTTAGTTCGAGATGGGTAAGCCCAGAAAAAATAACACACAGTAATATTTTTGTGCTCGTTTTAATTTGTCAAAAATTATTTTCAATGACACTCTCTCAGGTGCACTTCTGATGAAACCTACCGGCCAATCACTTCCGGCTCCCAGTACAGAGCCCGTTTTTCATTCAGGGCCTTCCAGTTCCTGCGAGGAACAGATTCTGTGTACCTCCAGTGCAAAGTTGTGATCTGCCCTGCTTCAGATTTCAATTCCCGTTGCCGTCGTGGATGCAGTAGACGTGTAGCCAGGGAGTTGGAGTCTGAGCATGAGAGCCAAACTCTGGTTGTGGGTCCTATCCAGCTCAAAGGTCAGTGTTTATTTGAATATCTGTCAAACACTGCTCTAAATATGACTGGAAGCATTGTTGATTTGAAGAAACGATTAATGTAAAGTGTTTTTATTTTTTGGCAGACCCTGAGAAAGAGAGGGAAGGGCCTGAAAAGCAGAATGAGGCTTAACTTAATGCTGCAGAAACCTTCTCCAATCATCTTTCAATTAATTTAAACAAGATGCTAAATCCTACTCTCTTTTACTTTTCTCTCTGTCTCATTACCTGATTAAAGCATTATCAAAACACAGTCTGTGTCTGAATTCCCCACTATGTTGCACCCAGCTAAAGTTAATATATTTAAAAAAAATAGAATAAAAGCCATACTATCACCACATCTTTTACCATTTTTGTGTGTTATGTTAGCTACAGGAAGAGTTCCAAGGAAGAAACCTAGGGTTGATCTAAATACCTTAAATTATAGCTCCCACCTCCTGTTCCTATACACATGGACAAAATAGTTTACCCATTTACTCACATACTGATAATGGCAATACATTGTACCCACAGTTGCCCTGGGGCTCACTGTCAGAAGCAAGGCTGCCGTACACTGGCACCAGCAGGCCCTCTGACCACCATCAGTGGACAATGCAAGTGAAGTGCCTTGCCCAAGCATACGACACTCAAAGCTGAACCCTTAGATTTCGGGGCAAACTCCTACACCTGACATCACTGTCGCCATACGCCACTGTTGCCTTAGGAGACAGAATCGGTGATAAAAACATCTAAAAAACTAAAAAATGAAAATCAGTCTTGATTATATTGTTATTTCTTAGATGTAGAAACGACTAGACATGATTGAAGTTTCCTGGATGTTGGAAGAAGAAGCCTCTAAAGCTAAAAGAATATTAGTCAATATTAAGTTCAAATAAGTTCATTTAGTAGTTAAAAACATGTATGCTGGAATTTTGAGCAAGACAACTAACCGCTTAACTGAACGCTTCAAATTCTGGTAGTTGTAGCTGGTTACCAGCTCTGTCTCTTCATGGAAGCCACCCATCTTGCTCGCCTTTCTGGGTCTTTAGGGAAGCAATAAAATGAGATGCTGTCCTTCCTTCCTTTTTGGCTGGTACACCCGTATGCTGCAAGAGGTTACCATGATTTTGTTGGTGTTTTCAAGGTAATATGGAGAAATATTGCAATAGCTGCTGTATATGAGCAGTTTGTTCTGCAATGCTTCTCTCTCCTCTCACCCACCCTGTTATTGTGACCAGCAAGTCAACAGATCCATACAAACCAGTGTATTTATCAATTACATCATAATGCCAAGAAAAAAAAAGGCAAAGAAAAGAAAAGGAAAAGAAAGAACTACAGCAGGCAGCGTAGGAAAGCAGCACCCTGCTCTCCTGGATCAAACCAGCAGCAGCTTCAGAGGAGAAGGAGAAAGATGATGAGGAAAAGTCAGATCCAAAACCAGATTTATATTAAGGGACAGGAAAGAGCTGTCTTAATGCTCAATGCAGTTTTTTTTAATATTTTTTTTTACTTCTACTATTACTACTACTATAGACACAATGACACTTAAAGTCGGAGCTGGGGCTTGAACCGTCAATCCTTAATAATATGAATGATAACAAGAAAAACATAGAAAAGCTCCTAAATAGATTAAAGGAGAACTTCAAGCTCAAGGAAACATCCCTCTCAGATTGCGCCAACTGTCGTTTGAGCAAAGTGGACTTACTGTAATGGGAGATGACCAGGCAAGATAACATTGCTGAAAACAAATCATAGAAAACCCAAACTTTCTGGGAGAATGTCCTATGGACATACTGGACAAAAAATTAACTTTTTGCCAAGGCACATCAGCTCTATTTTCACAGACAGAACAATGAAGTATATCAACAAAAAACACTGTCTCTGTTGTGAAACTTGGGAGAGGCTCTATTATGTTCTGGGGCTGTTTTGTTTCATCTGGCACAGTGTTTCTTGACACGGTGTAAAATGAAATCTCAAAACTATCAAAGGATTCTAGAGATAATGGTGCTTCCCATTGTGATAATGGCTGATCTCAGTCACATGCCATAGGCCTTGCAACATCATAATGACCCAAAACACACAGCTAAAAACACCCAAGAGTGGCTAAGAGAAAAATACAGGGATATTTTTAAATACCTTTGGAATTACTGTAGATGAAACATGGTGATGGAAAAGGCACCCTTCAAGCCTAAGACAACCAGAGCAGTTTGCTCATGAGGAGTGGACCAAAATGCCTGCTGATAGGTGCAGTCACACAGCAGCCGGTAGTGCCCCAAATCTGACATTTTTGCTTATGTGCTACCTGTATCTGATCTTTTCATGACAGTCTGAACAACACAGATCCAATTTTTCCAATGGGACCCTGGCCACTTGGCTATGTGGTCCCGATTACGATACAAATCTTATCTTTTCAAATGAGACCTGTGTCTGTATGGCCAGGTTGCATTAATCTGTCCTGAATGTCATTAATACTCAACAAAGGTCCATATTCTGCACGTTACTACGCAGAAGCGGGAAGAAAAACAACAGCAATGGTGGACGATAATGTGGAGAGCAGTCTTTATTTTCAACTTAATTAAAGAATGCAAAGATGCACTCCAGCACTATCATCCATGTTTACTTCTATAAACACAGAGCATGCTTGCTTGTGATGTTATTGCATCCTCTACTGCACATGCGGGACAGTTAAGTTGTGTGGATGCTATTCAATTTCCTGTCTGAATTAGTAGCTCAGCAGGTTAAGAAACCGCAAAGTTGCTACGTAAGTCATGGGGTTTGCATCCACAGCGGTAAATTTTCCCTCATTTAGGGGAGTGTTGGCCTAGTGGTTTGAGCAGGGCGCTTGTGCTCTGACAAGGTTGCAGGCACCTGGTTTGACCCCCAAGGCCGGCACTCTGGGTATCTGAGCACACTGCTCCCCGGGGGGGCTGCACACTGGCAGCCCACTGTTCCCTAACGGGGATGGATTAAATGCAGGACTTAATTTCTCCTTTTTGAGTTTAATTTCTACACTTTTTCTTTCTTTCTATCCATAAAAACGGATTAACCAGTCCCAGTTGATGTTAGAGAGAACGCTTTAACATTAATTCAATTCAATTCAGTTTTTCCGTAAAAGTTTAAAAACAATCCACTGGACTTGGTTTCCAAGGTTTGAAGACATTTCACTTCCCCTCCATGAAGCTTTCTCAATTCAAATGACCGGATCTGCAGTGAGATTGAGCCTTTATCTGGACAAGGCCTTGTATTGCTTGGAAACATGCAAATTTAATTCAGTTTATTTATATAGTGCCAATTCAAAACTCATGTCATCTCAAGGCACTTTACAGTTCACCAGATCATATAGTCAAATTGTTTAAAGTTTTCTGCCGAGGCAGACTGGGGTTCAAGGAGACAGAAGCAGAGATACAAAAAAACAACTTTAAAAGGCGGCCCCGTCCATTAATAAGGAGCCTGGACAAAGGCCCGTTTTCTATTTGCCTGCAACATTTTGATAAATGCCTTTCCCAAAATCAGTGGTTATCAAAGCCTATTGAGACAATTGTGCACATTTTTAGGTGGTGTGCATCTTGTTACAGCTGGTATAAAACTAACACAGTATATCTGTTACGGGATTGCTTATTATAGCTGATGAGAATGAGAATTCTTCTCTAAATCAAAAAACCCTAAACTAGTTTATGTTGTCCTGACATCAGTGTGTGGTTAAACACACTGGTTATTCAGCATATATATATATATATATATATATATATATATATATATATATATATATATATATATATATATCAGCGCATAGGATACACAAACCTTGATTATATTGTGACATTCATTGAAACACAACTGAACGACTGGTTAACTGAACAGATATACCTGGATGTTTACTAATTTTCTGGAAAATGAATTATAGGTCAAAAATAAGAGGTCTGTCCCATATGAGAAAGCTAATTACTTATTTCTTGAATCAACAATCAGACAAAAAAATATAAGATTTTCTTATTATGACTTAGACTTAGACAAACTTTGTTGTCATTTTGTATACCCAAAGTGTATACAAAACAAAATATCATTTTGTACAGCTCTCATGACATTTTCATTTCTTAAAGTGCATAGTGATCAAAATGTAAACAAAAACATGGTGAAAAATAACCGCATTGATATGGTCAGTTTGATGTAGAGTCTGTGACATGATTTCGAGGTTTTGTCTTGGGAAGAAGCTGTTTTGGAATCTGCTGGACCTGCATTGAATGCTGTGAAGCCTTCCCAGAGGGCAGTAAGGAGTACAATCCATGGTGGAGGTGTGAGAGGTTAATGATAATGCTACAGGCTCTGGACATGCAGCACTGGGATGAAATGTCTTCTATGGAGGGAAGAGGAGCCCTGATGATCATCTCTGCAGTTCTCATTATTTTGTATTAATATTGTTATACTATTATAATACATGGAACACATAGGATATAAAAGAAGCAAAAGCCAATTAAAAAATCTGTTTGTTGGATATTTAGATCTAAACAAAGCTGCCTCCAAGCTGTTTTAATCTATTTGACATATTTTGTGGTAAGTCAGAAAACAGTTTTCTAACCTCACTATTTTATCCAGTTATGTATTATGTTGCAGAAATTATGACTCACTAAACTGTTGTATTGCAAGGATCATAAATCTATGTAATCCATTACAAGCATGTACCTTGGAACCCGTCCTAAAGAATCCAGTGAATAATCGCTATTTTTTATAATTAACCAGGTGTGCTTTTAATACCTTGTCAATACTAGGTAATGTTTCATTAAGGTGTTTGGTGACATCAACCTTTTTATGAGTGCTGTAATCATTGTGTTGCTGAGCATATAAGCTGCAGTGATCAGGACATGAAGCAGACTGGAAGTTGGGGAACAGTTTGACCATGAGGGCTCTCTTGTGTCTTTGCTGTGTGCTCTTTGCACAAGGAGTGCAAGGTAACATGCTCTTATTTAGAACATAAGTTTCTTCTTAGAAGATAGATTTATGCTATAAGTATCTTAATAAGTGAGCATTTTCTTCTGTAAATCATACCAATACATTTTGAGATGATTGCTCATGCTATGACTAACACTGAGTCTTTTTAAATCCTCCAGGTTGGACAACCATGTATTATACAGAAACAGGTACAAGGTTCAATATTTATTGTTGGTATTTTTTTCTATTCCATAATTCGGGCTCACAGTGTTGTTTTGATAAACCTAACCCATAAGTACTATGATGTGAATTGATGCTCTTTTATTTTCTTCCTCAGTCAGCAGTTTATCTTCCCTACAACAGTTTGGCCTCAGTTTTAAAGTGTTTCTTTCAGTTCCGTTTTTTTTTTTTTTTTTTTTTTTTTTTTTTTTTTTTTTTTATATAAATACAACTGTTTTATTCACCTGTGAAGTTGAAGCCATTACCACTCTAGGAACACTAAATTAAACGCCCTGTGTGTTCCAGCTCAACCATCATGCCGCTACAACTGTGGATACCACCTGGGAAGCTGTTCCTGCTCCAGCTCATGCCAATACAATGGAAACTGCTGTGATGACTTCTACTGTAAGTGAAACCTGAACAGATTCTTTGTTGATATTCTTCTTTAAAGCTGATGTGAAATAATAGTAACAACTCTTTTTATCTCTCTTTTATGCAGCATACTGTGATCACACCACCAACACTCCTACCCCACGTAAGACCATCTTTCCAGAGCTTTTGATATGAATTTTAATAAACTGTGGATATGACACTATCTATATTGCCATACGTAAGACAAATTACATTTTAAATTGATAAGTTGATTGAAATAATTTATATTGTTCAGATCATTACATATTACGATGACATTCTAAAAACAAAACAAAAAAATAGTTTCCTTTAAAATACCCTTTAAAACTTCTTAAACTTTGAAATTTTCCATGTTTTGTAACGTTGCAACTACCACCTCTAATATATTTTTTTTTTATTGCATGGAGTAGATCAAGACAAAGTAATGTATAATTTTGTTTAATTTTCACAAAAGGAAAATAAAACATGTGGTATACCTGTTTTCATTGTCTTTTTAGTCTATTGGACAAGGTCTTATTGTCTCTTTATCGACTAAATAAAGTCCACCTCTATTTTAATCTGATTATCAATCCAGCCTTTTGCTGAAGGCCTCAGTTATGTGTTAGATAACATTAGTGAACTACAGTATCTTGGAGGTCAGGGGACACAGAATGTAGGCCATAGATAAAGACATGTAGGAAACTGAAGCAGGATTAGCTTATAAAGAATAATAATTTACCGTTCAAACCACTAAAAGCACAATGGGTTATGGCAAAAAGCTCACTGAGACATTTTAACCCACCCAAAGTAACAGACATTAATTAGAGAATAATGCGAGAAGAAATCTGCAGAGGCTAGATCTCTGAGAGGATCTATTGAGACAATGTACATTTGTTCACTGAACAATCTTAATTTTATAGTGGCAAGAAGTAAGCCATAGCTAAAGAAGGCTACATTGCATATAATTGACAAACAGAAGACAACAAAATCCTTGAAACTGGGGTAGAGGGCCAATCTAAATATCTATCAGGATCTATAAAGAAATTGTTTGGCTAATACTTTCAGTTAGAATGACCAGACCCGAGTCCAATAAAATGTATTCTGAAGGACCTGAGAAACATTGTCTAAAGAGGGCCCCCTCTTAGTATGACTGAGCTTTGGATGTTTCAGGGAGAGGAATAGGCCAAACGTGAGCCTCTACATAGCAGTGACTTCAGTTCTATAAAATATTTTAAAAGCATGGTTATACAACAATTAAGTCAAGTTTAGTTTAGACCAACCATGTATTCTTTTAAGGCAGAAGGAAAATAAAAGTAGATAACACATGTTAATATGACCACCAGCATCCAAAGCCAACAGCTAAAAATGGGAAGTGGTTTCAAAGAAAATAGATAAAATAAAAGATATTCCTCCATATTCTACTCATAGAAACTTGAGGTGCCATTGGTAAGGTAAATAGAAAAAGAAGATTTTACTTTATAATCAATACAGATCAGTGCGGATGGACATCTAAATAATTTTTAACCACCTGTATTGAGAAAAAATTGTGGTTTAAATGGTGATGATAGATAGATAGATAGATAGATAGATAGATAGATAGATAGATAGATAGATAGATAGATAGATAGATAGATAGATAGATGGATAGATGGATAGATGGATAGATAGATAGATAGATAGATAGATAGATAGATAGATAGATAGATAGATAGATAGATAGATAGATAGATAGATAGATAGATGTTATGCAGATTTACAGACTGTTGGTTTTCATGGTCTTTGTTTTCATTAGGAAACTGTGGCGGGTACCTGTATGGCAGCAGTGGCACTTTTGAAAGCCCCAATTATCCAAACAACTACCAAAACTACCTAGACTGTACTTGGTACATTAGACCTGGCCATCAGTTTATTCGTTTGCAGATTTCCGATCTAGAGTAAGTGAATGTTCTGAATATGCAAGACGTACAACCATTAAAGCTGGACATTCTTTATTTGAATTTTCTTTTCTCCCTGTTTGGTTTCAGCACCGAGTGTTGTTGTGACCCGGTTGATGTTTACGATGGCCACAGTACCAGTAGCCGGAGGGTGTTGCAACTCTGCAGCACAAATTATGTTGTCTACCATTCCACTGGACCCTATGTAACTGTTCGCTTCAGAACTGATAGCAGTGTGACCAAACAGGGATTTCAAGCTAGCTACACAAGTGTTGGTAAGATAGTGTAGCTATGGTCCTTTGTTAAAAATTTTGCTTATTAAAAAATAATAATGCATGTCTGTCCTCTTAAAGCTGAAAGCTCCTGCCAGTATAACTGTGGTTACGAGGTTGGAAACTGCTCTTGCGACTCAGGATGTGAATACAGAGGGACCTGCTGTGCAGATTACACTGGTAAGTAGAGTCCAGGGTTGTATAGCATCCTGAGGCAAAACCAACAGCATTCGAATGAACCAACCAACTGAGGCTGTTCAAGCATGAAATCATCTTGGTCCCAATACACCCCCCAAAACACCAATAAGAAAAACACTAAAATTCACCACTCCCACCAGATCAACAACATAGGACACCTAACCTTGAAGAAAAATGCAGCAAAGGCACAGAACTACCACAGCACAAACCCAGTGGCGCCCATGCTTCTTCCATGCACCTCCGCAATATGCAAGCCAATTGGCTACAAAGCCACCAAAGAGAGGCCAGACTCCCAGTAACCACAACAACTGAACAGGTCACCCCTCTACACTAGATCTCCAAACCTCTTCTATCCCAGCAAACCAGGTGCATTAACTGGAAAAGAAAATTCAAACATATGAGGGCAAAGTGAAATGCAAGCCCCGCTCTTTCTTGAGGGATATTTAACCATACAGAAACTTATTTCCTTCATCCCAGAAAATAAATAATAAAACTGCTTTGGTTATCCATCAACTAAATGATAATAGAAAAAAAATAACAAATGTTTCCTTTACCTCCTGTTGAATAATTTTCAAACATTTTTGACTGAGTTTCTACATAACTGGAGTGAATAACTGTGACATTTAACCTTGTCATCCTTACTTCTTTTTCAGCTTACTGTAAAACCACCAGTGACCAACCAGTGACCACCTTTCCAGAACTGACCCCAACATCAGGTCTGACAGATTCGCTTTTCTCTGGTTAACCAGAGTTTTTTTTTAAAGTCACAACTTTGTAGAGGATCTGGGAGGCCTATGTATAAAAAAGAAGGGTCTGTTTTATTCGCACCACACCACAGGAGAACATAGTCAATTAAATACAGATTGATCTACCCATGAAACAATACACTCAAGGTCCGATTATTATTCAAATGGTTAAAAAGTTATAACATGGCATAAACCAGATGGATATTTATAGTTTATTTTTAATTCTCCCAACAATTAATCTTGCTTGAAAGGTAAAAACAATGTATTGTTGAAAACAAAAGAGAAAATAAAGTTAACAGGAGAATAAAAATCATTAGCAGATAACACAATAAACCTATAGCCGCATAACCATAGAGACAGCAAGGTTAGGAGAAACTACCTGAGATCCTCTAATAATAAGCTTTAAATAATAAGCTTCAAAAAGCTAAGTCAAAGCTAAGTCAAGACCCAGTTCTATGTTTAGTCTCTAGTAGGAATTAAATTGGGAGATGGAACAAATGAAAAAAGTGGATAACTAAAACATCTTCATTCAATTCACATTAAAAAAAACTCTGAACCATCAGTAAAGTAAAAAGCCCCCAAAATAAGTGTTTTTCTAATGATAAAGAATTACAAAACTTCCTAAAAAAAAAAATCACACCAAAAAATATACCTTTAGTTTAAGAAATACTGATGATTAGAAAGTGGCTTCAGTAGCAGAAAAAAAATTATTTGATGATTAACCAAAGACTTACTTCTCTTACTACACCAAGAACATAGATTCATACTGATTGGGTGAACTGAAAGCAAATAATTCAATTCAAGTTAGAAACCATAAGACTCAAGTTTAGTTCAATACTCAAATCAGAAAATATTGTCCATTAAAACCAAAGGGAAGAACAAAAGAAAGTAAACTCCCATAGAGAAAAAATGCATATAAAACAAACCGGTTAAGCTAAGCTACCTGGGATCCTTAAACTAGAAGCAATTTCAAAATGAAAATGTTGCAAAGGTAAAAATAAGCTAAAGTGAAAATGTATACATTATTGAAAAGCGATAGCACAATTAAACAAGGCATATCCAACCTTGTAAGAGAAAAAATAAATTCGATGACAATATATTTTACAATATATTTTACAGAAAAATTGAGAACAAACGTATTCAAACATTAAAACAAACTTAAGAATAGATACAATGATACATTTTCAACTCTATTCACCTCTCCAGCTCAGCCTTCCTGTCGTTACAACTGTGGTTATGATATGGGAAGCTGCTCCTGCTCATCTTCATGTCAGTCGAATGGAAGCTGCTGCTATGACTACCATTGTAAGTACAAAATCTGTGGCCTCAAACAGATCTGCATGTATACTTTAACATTTTTTCACAACGATTTTTCTATTGTAAAATATATGAATATAAAAATTACTTTTCTTATCCATGCAGATCAGTGTGGTTTTTATTTTACTACTTCCAACACACCAGGTAAGATTATTTTAACAACCTTTCGGAGAAAGAAAATCATTCATTTTGTTCAGATTTATTTTAAAGCAGGAACACAATAATTTGATGATTGTAAAAATGCACACACCTCCAATGTATTTGTTATGGCAATAGAGAAAAACAAAATACAAATAAATCCAATACTTGTGGTAGGTATAAATTGAATTAAGTTGATTTATTTAATTAGAGACTTAGACAAACTTTATTTTCATTTTGTATACACAAAGTATACAGTGGCGGCTGGTGAAAAATATTTTTGGTGGGGCTGATATAGCCTAGTGTATGTCTCCAACTAATCTCGAATAAAAATTAAAACAAACAATTGGAAATGAAACACAATTTAACAGTAATGATTTAATTTACTATATGATAAAAGTAACAGTGATGATTTTGGTCACTGTGACAGGGTTCTTTGGCCTCCAAGAATCCAGGCTCAGCAGTATTGGGCACGTTACTTTGAAAAAGTAATTAGTTATAGTTACTAGTTACTCCTCCCAAAAAGTAACTGAGTTACTAACTGAGTTACTCCACAATAAAAGTAACTAGTTACTAGTAAAAGTAACTATTGCGTTACTTTTGCGTTTCTCGCCCCCGTAACCCTCACCACCCAGCCCCCACCTTCTCGCCGTGTGTTTCTAAAGCCAGCTGAATAGAGCGGACGACAAAGACAAGAACCTGCAGAGAATTTTGCATTCATTGCAACTCAATGTAAATGACATCGGGGGGAACGCGATGTGAAGTTTTTTAACAGGGCATTCAGATCTGGTGAGTATATGAAATTAATAACTGGGGATGTCTAATTCTGAAATCCAGTGTGTTTAGGTTGTTATAGATACTGCAAAACCAACCAACCTACCTACCTACCTACCTACCTACCTACCTACCTACCTACCTACCTACCTACCTACCTACCTACCTACCTACCTACCTACCTACCTACCTACCTACCTACCTACCTACCTACCTACTTACCTACTTACTTACTTACTTACTTACTTACTTACTTACTCTGGGTGTGACATAAAATATGGATCTCCATCCCTGCCACAAAGGCCATCAAATAATGTTTAAAATAAAAAATACAGGTTGAAAAGGCAGAGTATCCATCCATCCATCCATCCATCCATCCATCCATCCATCCATCCATCCATCCATCCATCCATCCATCCATCCATCCATCCATCCATCCATCCATCCATCCATCCATCCATCCATCCATCCAGATTTCTCCCTTTCTCCATACAGACTATCATTTGAGCACAGGGCGACTGTTGCGCGCCTTTAGCGAGCATGCGCGTTTCCTGTCGCTTGCACGGTGAATCGTGCCGCCTGCGCTGTGCGGAGATGCAGGGGAAACCGTATGTGATGGGGAAACGCAGCTCGACGTAACACCGGTATTTCCATGTGGAAAACGCTGTTTTGCTGCTGGAGTCCTCCACACTCTCCATCTCTCTGTGTGTGCTGTACGTTAACACCCACCAGCAGAAACACCCACCTACCCAACTGACAGACGGAATCTCACTATACATCAGCCATTCTCATCCTCCCCTCTCCCATGACAAGGTGCGCACGAGTCCTATCATGATAAAAGGTTAATTGTGCGACCTGAGTAACGCGCAGTAACGGGGTGTCTGCAATGGTAACTGCGTTATAGTTACAGTCAAAGTAATTAGTTAGATTACTCGTTACTAAAACAAGGTAACGGCGTTAGTAACGCCGTTACTTTCAACGCCGTTAGTCCCATCCCTAAGGCTCAGTCGGGTTACCGGTGTCAGTGATTTATTGTGCTCAAAAACTCAAAACAGGGTGCAAAAGAAACTAAACATATACAAGATACTCTGGGCCTCAGCCTCCCTCCAGTCACCAGCAATGTAACAAAGAAACTGAAAACAGAAATGGCCTCTCTTCTTCCCACAGCCCTCATTAAATAGTTTAAGCCCCTCACCTCAGGCTCTCTTATTTCTGATTTCTTCTCATAAATCAGTTTAGTCCATATATTACCTCCACAAACAATTGATGTACAAAAACAAATAATTTTTACAACTTAATTCCTTTACACAGATTCATTGACTTATTCAATTACACCAAACTGGGATTGAACCCAGCAAAGACGCCGCCAGACTGTAGATGACAAGTCCCCGTAGCATAAACACATACACATACACAAACCCACCCACCCACCCACCCACACACACACACACACGGCTAACCCCACTGAACTATTAAGTGTGCACCCTCAATACGCCAGCAGGTAACCAGGAACAGCTTGTGTGTTTTAAGTTAATGGACCGCTACTGGGCTCAGCGTGAGTGTATAGGTCCTCACAAGCACAGTATAACAGGAATGAGTGTGTGGCACGCAAAGTTAAAGGTTGTTTTAAGTGACAAGGTGGATTCGTCACAGTCACAATAACCATGAAATGAAATTTTCATATCCTACAACAGGGATGTTCTTCTGACAAACGGGTAGATAAATAAGGATCTCACCGATTTTGGGTGGAAGCTTCATCTCGTTCGTTACGTTCGCCATCATCCCTCTAATTGTCTGCACCTGCGCTTGGGTGCAGAAGCCTGTTAAAGGGCAGTATTTTCAGAACCCCAAGACCATCAAATTCTGAGATGCTGATTGGCCATTAAATTATTAAATTCACCTAGCAATAGTACATGATTGGCAGATTCTCTGCAAATGTGGGGCTGTCTAATCAGAGCCCCAAGACAGAGACGGTAGGAGTCTGTCTGTGGAAATCCACAAATGAATGACAGTAGACAGGGAAATGTAGTTTATATAATTTGTTTTGCTTATAGGTACACACTCTAGAGAGTAAAACTGACATTTCTGAGTTAATTTCTAAAAATATATTTTACGTTTCTCTCTTCTTATCAGAGAGGGCGGTGCCCCAGAGCCCCCTATGGGCCGGCCGCCACTGAGAGTATATGTCTTTAATGGAGGGAAGAGGGAGCCCCAATGATCCTCTCTGCTGTTCTCACCATTTTTCTCACATTCTTCAGTCTGAGGCACTGCAGCCTCCACACCACTGCTCTCTCTGGTGCTCCTTAGAAGGTATGAGGATGGGCGAGGGCAGGTGGGCCCTCCTCATCCTCAGCAGAAGGTACAAGTGCTTCTGTGTCCTTGTGACCAGAAAGCTGATGTTCACAGTCCAGGTGAGGTTGTCTGTGATGTGCAACCGCAGGAATTTGATGCTGCTGACCACCTCTACAGCTGAGCTGATAAGCAGTGGAGCGTGGTCTTCCTGAAGTCAGCGATGATCTAATTCATCTTCTTTACGTTCAGGATCAGGCTGTTATCTTTACCCCAGCCCAACAGCTGCTCCACTTCCTCTCTGTAATCTTGGTCTTGTCATCTCTGATTAGGCCCATCACCGTAGCATTGTCTACAAACTTCACTATGTGATTGGTGGTGAACCTGGGGACGCAATCGTATGTCATCAGAGTGAACAGCAGAGGGGTCAGGACGCAGCCCTGAGGGGAGCCTGTACTCAGGGTGATGACATAAGAGGTGTTCTGTCCGACCTAGACTGACTGAAGTCTGTTGGTGAGGAAGTCTAGCAGCCAGTTGCAGATGGGTGTACTGAAGCCCAGATGTTCCAGTTTTCCTCAGAGATACTGTGGGATAATGGTATTGAAAGCTGAATTGAAGTCCAGGATGGCATCCACACATGGGTGTTCTTCTCCTCCAGGTGTGCTCAAGTGAAAAGGTGAAAAGCAGAGGAGATTACCAGACTTGAAGGCTGAGTTCTGTGCCTTTAAAAGGGAACGCCTTTTTTTTCACATTGGCCCCTTGATTTTACGTTATTACATCATGTTCTACTCACCCATATGAGTTTTGTGTCAGTTGGAGTTTTGTGTCAGTTGGAACCATTCATCCAGGCTCGTTGGTTGACCAGGGGGATGATGTTCTTTGTGGTGCTGACATCCTCCATGCATTTGTTGATGTAGGCTGAAACAGTCATGTCATAATCATCAATATTGATCTTATTGTCATATGTTGTTACAGTTGCTTACTGCTGTTTCACACCAAATGTAATCTCAATGAACTTTGACAAACAAACACATTATGTTTAGATTCTAAACTATTCAATCTATTTAATCAAATTGCATTGACTGTGTAGCATCCAGTGCAATTAAAAAAGGCCAGAACTGGTGGTTGAAAGGTTTATTTGAGCCATCCGTGCCTCCAACCAACTTAAGAGCTACAAAAATAAACAATTTACAATTACAATTTAATACACCATGCTTAGCTCATTACATTGGTAACTTTTCTGTATTAAACATTTTCTAATTAACACAAACCTTGTTCCTCAATTGACTGATGCTTTAAACTTTACAATTATATGACTTTCCGTGGTCCTTTAATCAGTTTCTCTTCCAACGTTTTCTTGCTAACTTCGGGTTTTACGGACCGTTGTGTGTTAAGCTAACTTCCGGTTTTACGGACCCCTTTCAAAATAAAAGCATAGTCCTCTAATGTAATCGTCAAAAAAAAAATAAAATTTTTTTTTTTTTTTTAACCACACTCTTCTACCGTTACACTCCCACCAAATTATTTGCCGATAACACATATAAAACACAAATAATTTCCTCAAATTACGGAACAAAACAAAACAAAACAAAAAAAACAATCGCCTTATAAACAACTGTCAACTTTCAACATTTCCTGACACTTTTAGCATAGTACATTTACTTTTCACAGTCTTCTAACAGCAGAACTAACTTATGAACTGGGCGTTCTACTACAGACATTTTGTTCACACGCTGACCCTTGTTGGTAAGATCTCTGTCTGCAAAGGCGATTTTGACCTTTCTGACAAGTCCATCTGTGTCCTTTACAGTGTCCAGGATTCTTCCAAGTTTCCACTGAGATCGCGGTTGTGTTTCATCTTTGTCCATTACTATGTCTCCTATTTGCATGTTCCTTTTTGGCGTGTGCCATCTTTGTCGGATTGTAATATTCTGTAAGTATTC